AGCACCCGCACTCTTAAAGTGGAAGTTGTCCAACAACTTCATGAAAACATCTCCGTCTTAATCTGACACTTTGAGAAAATATTTCCGCCTACTTTTTTCGACGTCATGGAACACCTAGTTGTCCACCTCCCGTATGAGGCATTACTTCGTGGACATGTGCATTATGGATGGATGTATCAGTATGAAAGGGCCATGAAAACTTTGAAAGGAAAAGCCAAAAACCTAGCAAGAGTTGAAGGTTCTATTGTTGCGGGAAGTTTGACAGAAGAAACATCACATTTCACATCGTACTACTTTGCACCGAAAGTATGTACAAGGAAACGAGCTCCAAGAAGATATGATGATGGTGGTGTCGTGCCGACATATATAGAAGACGATGTTCCAGACATCTTTTGTCAAATTGGGCGATTGGGTGGGAAATTGAAAGAGGTTTGGTGGTCGAGTGATGAAGACATCCATAGTGCACACCTTTATATTTTTCTTAATTGTGAGCATCCGTTGATTGCTTATTTTGAAAGGTAAATATATAAAAATACACACTTATATATATATATATATATATATTTCAATATTAAATATATAACATAACATATATGCTTTTACAGCCAATTTGTGACTCAAGTCGAGGAAGCAATACCTGGTATATCGACAACTAAGTTAGAAAAAATGAAAGATCAACACTTTATCAAGTGGTTGACAAAACATGTATTTATTATTACTTAAATTGTATGCATACATTACCTCAAAGTAAGTCTAATGTCTAGTTATATTACTTTTTGTTGCAGGTTGATTATGACGATCCTGAGTATCCCACATGGTTTCGCGAATTACTTCAAGGTCCAGTTGCAAAGGTCACTACATCATCGATGTATTTCACCCGAGGCTATACTTTTCATACATATGACTATGGTAGACACCGGGCGACAAGTAATTATGGAATATGTGTGAAAGACGAAACAGATTTCTACGTGATCGTGCATGAGATTTGTGAAGTTCAATTCCCAGGTATGAGTTTGAAATGCGTTATCTTCAAGTGTGAGTGGTACGGCCCTGCCATCAACAGAGGTGTTCGGATTAACAAGAACAGTGTAGTTGATGTCAACGGTGGACGAAGGTACAACAAATTCTTTTTTTTTTAATATCCAGGTTTTGAGCATTAATTAATTTTTATATTGATCTTTATTTTTGTAGGTACAACAAGTTTGCTTCATTCCATACCCTTGGATTATTTTTGTAGGTACAACAAGTTTGCTTCATTCCATACCCTTGGATTACTACCTCGGGAATAAACTGGTTAGCTGTTATCAAAGTTACACCTCGAGGACGAATAATCGTTGGAGAAGAACCACCATTACAAGAAGAAAACACCAACGAGATCGAGGAACCTGAAGCAGAAATTGATGACATCCTACTCATTGATCCGAATAATCATGAATACGAAGATGTTCGTGATCACTCAACGGACGAAGGTGTAGAGGACGAGTTTTTAGAAAATGATGATGTTTCAACAGATTACGAGAATGTATCCGAATGAATTATGTATGTTTATAAGTTTGTTTAATCACAAAAATGAATTTGGATTATATATGTTTTAAGTTTGTTTAATCACAAAATCAATTTGCATTTGGAGTTTTTGTGTAGAAGAGGTTAGGAGTTTGGTTGTAGAAGAGGTTATAAGTTAAGGAAGTTGTGGTTTGGGGTTTGGGGTTTCGAGTTTAGGGATTTACAAACCCTTTCCTCGTAAAGCCCTAGTGATACAAAACGCGGGCGTAGTCGTTTCCTCGTAAATTCCTAGTAATACCCTTACTAGGACTTTACGAGGAAAATATTACTAGGACTTTACGAGGAAATAAAAACACGGGCGTAGCTATTTCCTCGTAAAGGCCTAGTAATGTTACTAGGGCTTTACGAGGAAACAAAATTCCTTATATAAACTCGAGCAATCCGTTTTCTCATTTGTAGTAAACTTCTCTCTGAATTCTCTTAAGGTTCTCTCTATTTCCTAGTTAGGTGAATAGATTAGAGAATTAAGATTAGGTGGTTAGTTTAGGAAATTTAGATTAGGTGGTTAGTTTAGGTAATTTAGATTAGGTTGGTTTACTTTTTTAACTGTTTTTTTTTTAAATTATACGGGAATTAATGTTTTATTTTTTTTTAAATTTAGATGGTCAGACAGAGCAAGATTGCTAAGAGGCCTCTTCAGGGGAGTCACTACGGAGATCTTTTCGGGCGTCAGTCTGGTCCTGGTTCATCTTCGTCAGCTCCCGGTTCGTCTTCGATTTCGGATCCTGACGCTGTTCCCGAGACTCAAGGAGCTTCTACGGCGTCCCGGTTTGAGCAACCACCTCCTCCTCCTCCTCCTCCTCCACCGGTCGGGGTTCATCCCGATTTGCAGGTGCCGCCGAACGCACCCTTTGCGGTGTACACAGTGGAGGATATTTTGGCTCTTCCAGGCAGAGAAGGGCTGCCAGAGTTAGATCCTATCCGACGGGACGGCCACAACGTATTATGGTATGTTTTAATTTTTAAAAAGTGTTTTTAATTTATTTCTTAATTAACAAAAGATTTACAAATTAATCTAATTAATGATTTATTTGTGTCTTTCCAGGTTTGGTTTTGACGGATTCTTTCTCGATGCAGCTTCAAACTGGAAGAAGACGGAGAGACACACAAAAAAGACGTGGTTCAAATCGTTCGCTGTAAGTTTAATTAATCAACTTAATTTATTTTTAATTATTTAAAATTATTAATATTATTGAACTAATCCGTCTCTTATTTTTTCTGGTTACAGCAAAAATATCGTTGGTCTATTGGGATTCACCAGCGGGTGAAGACGGAGTTTGAGGCCAAGGCAAGAGCACGATTGCTCAACATGGTCTACCACTGGAAGTGCGACTTTCAGGTCTGGATTTATAAATTATAATATATATATAGTTTTAAAAATATTATTGACTTTAATTCTAATTATTTTAAATCAGGTGGATGGTTACGAGGACGGGAAACCCGATTGCCTCACAACCACGGTGTGGGATGGCCTCATCAGCTATTGGGGGTTGCCGGACTCGGTCAGAACCTCCCACACAAACTCCGGGAACCGCATGACCAAAGACGAGCATGGCAACACGAAGATGCTTCACACCACGGGTCAAAAACCTCACGGGGGAGTTCGTCTAGACATGGTAAGATGATTTTTAATAACTATTTAATTTTTACTTTATTTGAATATTCCAAATTAATATTTAATTTTAAAAATTATTTTTAGGCTAAAGAGACATGAGTTCTTCCATCTCTGAAAGACCTTTACAAGAGGACCCACCGGAACAAGGCTGGGCAGTTTGTAGATCCTTCTTCCGAGCAGATCTACAACAAGGTTGTTGCCCGAGTTGACGAACGCCAGACCTAGCTGACTCAGCAGACTGGGACTCCAGTCATATTATCCACTCTTGAAGTGGATAAGATTTACGAGGAGGTAAATAATTTGTTTTACTATTAATTTTTATTATTTCTTTTTTTTTTCTTAACGTTATTAATATTTTTATATAAAGGCCGCCCCTAGGAAAAAGGGGCGTATCGTCAGGATTGGCTCGGTTAACGATGTCCCCGCAGCGACATCGTCTTATGCTCAGGAACAGCACGATGTCAGTGCTCAGCTGCGCTCGGAGTTGCAGGCGACACAATCTCATGTGAGTTCGCTCACCGAGCATGTGACTTCTCTCACCGATGTCCTCGACATTTTGGCGGTTGGAAACCCGCAATTGGAGGAGATGTTGCGTCAGAGACGGGAATGCGGAGGGCTTCCAACCCAACAGCCTCCACCATCACAGTCACAGCCGGCAACCAACTTTGGAGAGGAAGAGGATTTGGCGAGCCAGGACGATTTCGTTCGGCAATTTCACGAGCACCATCCATAGTTTTTTATTTTTAATTGTATATTATGAATTTTAAAACTTAATTGTATATTATTTAGTTATTTATAAAATATTTTGTTTTTATTTATAATTTGAATTTTGTATTTTTTAAAAATATATTATTTATATTTATAATTAATATTTTTTTTAATAGGAAAAAAATTTCGAAGCAAAATCCTCGTAAAGGTTTCGAAGTAATGTCCTCGTAAATTATTCTACTAAGTTCCTCGTAATGTATTACTACGAACTTACGAGGAAATCATTTACTATGACATTACGAGGAAACTTTACGAGGAAAAGCTAACCACGCGTTTACGAGGAAATGTTTCCTCGTAAATTAGGTAGGACCTTACGAGGAAAAAGGCTTTACGATGAACATAGTTCCTCGTAAGTTCCTAGTAAATGGTCGTTTACTAGGAAATAACGAGGAAAACTCGTCCTAGTAATGGACGAGTTTTTCTTGTAGTGATTTGAAGATGGTATAAAGATGATGGTTCAGATTGTTCTTATAAACCCTAAAATTTTTGATTTGGCAAAGATAAGTGACATAAGTCAAATATGTATCGGGTTTATGGGTTGGGTCAGGTTGAATTTTGATAAATGGATTTAAGTTTAATATATTACAAAATAACCCCACTAACTAATCTAAAAATTAATTAAATCTAATTGTGATGTTACCACCATATAATTATTCATTTCATATATGTGGTATGTATTACCATAAACGTCGTGTACTTATGGATACATTTTCATATATTGGATGATTTTCAGCATGTTAGAGTAAACTTCGTATAGGTGACAAATTTTTTTCCTAATATAATCTACTACGGGCATGGACATAAGAGCATCTTCTTGTTCAATTAACACTAACGAACATAAAACTAAATTCGGTTAACATAGCGATTTATAAGAAATTGTTTTATTAAAGTATCACTTTACCTTTTAGAAGTTTCTATGGTTCACATTCGGCGGCATCTCGCTGTTTGTCAACTCGTGTTTCTCTATAAATAATACCTAATGATTCATTGTCTCTTCATCCTCACATCAAACAATATTCAATAACTATTCTCTCTCGCATCTTCGCAAATCAATATGGCTAAGTTCACAACCATTTTCATCATGGCTCTCTTTCTCTGCTCAGCGCTAACCTACGCAGCTCGGCTGACTTCGACGACAACCACCGCCTTTTCCAGAGAAGACACCGTCAAGGTTTGTTAACTACTACGTTCTTTGTTTTTGTTTTTTTCCCCGGAATATTTCAACTCAAAATATATTGGCAAAACTGAAGGCTCCGTTGTAAAGATAAGAAAAGCAACATTCACATCCAAGAAAAAAACGCTTTAGTTAAGAGTTACTAAAGGTTAATATTTCGAGATATTATGGGTCAAAAGTCAGAGCTAGGTCTGGGCATTTTATCCCGACCCGAAAACCCAAAAGAACCGACTTGAAAATACTTGACCCGAAACTGAACCGAAAATTTACAAGTACCTATTGAGTCCAAAATGCTATTACCTGAAAGAACCGGAATCAAAAAGAACAGATCCGAATAGATCTGGAACTGAAAAGAACCGACCGAATAGATTCGATAAGAACCGATTTATACCCGATTTAATAACATAATTAAGTATCCGTAATTATATTTTTTTGTGTTTAATTTTCTATATTTAGTTTATGATCTAGTTGAAATACATTTTTGCTAACAATTTTTGTTATTATTTTTTAACATTTTCAAGTAATATGAAATTTTAATTGTAAAGTTCAAAGTTTAAAAATGTTTTATTTTAGTTATTAATAGTTTATATTTTAAGTTATTTTGTAAAAATGTAGATATGTATGATGGATTTTGACTAAATTTGATGGGATTTATGTATTTCACATCTTTTCATATCCTTAAAATCTAAATCCTACCTAGACCCAAATATTATTAGTGTTTTATAGGTATTTTAATTATAGATTTGAACCGATCGAAATCCGATAAGGACCAACCCGAACCAAAAATTTACAAGTACATAAAACTCTAAGATTCAAAGGGAGCTGGACCCGAAAGGAATCGACTCTAACCCGACCTGAAGACCCGAACGCTCAGACCTAGTCAGAGCTATTCAAAACAGTATTTTTCTATCATTATTATTTCAAAGTTGAAACTAATTTTTAGAACGTACATATATGTATACTTCTTTCGTCTTTTTTGCTAAATTAATGGAGCAGATTCAACAAGGGTTTTAAACGTTAAAGTACCTGTAACGATGAACACACAGTTAACTTGTATGTGTGTTCCACGCATTAATTAACAAATAGCAAGGAAAAGAGTACAAGATCGATTATAGATTAGATTTCATACCTGTAAAACCATCATTCGTTAGATTAGTCTATATAAGCTTACAAGTTACGTCTAAAGGTTCTAAATACGTACAAAATAAACTCAAGAAAGTTTGCATGCATGGTCCATAAGGACCATAACTCCATATAACATTCTCCCGATTTGTTTCGCGTAATTAATTCTATACTGTTGACAAAAATAAATCTGAAGAAGCTTAGAAGTTATCACTGACGTGTGAATTTTGTTATTGATGTGTAGGTGATTGAAGGAGATAAAGCTGAAGAAGAGAGCTGCGAAGGAATTGGAGAAGAAGAGTGTTTGATTAAACGAACTCTGGTTGCTCACACCGATTACATTTACACTCAGAATCACAAGCACTAGATTTCTATGATTTAAGCCATATAGTTAACTAGTTACATTATTAAACTCTATCCCTGTACTTTCTGTTCTCTGTTCTTATTTTTCAGTTTTTGAATTTCGTTATTGCTCCATTTCTGTTATACTAGTGGTCGATCCGCGCTACGCGCATAATGTATTTCTTTTATGTTTAATATTAAGAATTTATTTTATTAGATGTAATCGTTAATCTGTTAATCTAATTGTAAAAGTTGATTTGCAATTAACGTTGTAGGTGTTTACTGATGACAAGTTTGAGTCACTGGATAAAGTGGTTAAGAATAAAGATCATCTTTTTTTTTTGAATTGTATTGAGCGTTTTTAGTTGTGATATATTATTCAATTAAGTATGATTATTTAATGGCAAAGAATTTAAATGGTGTGGCTTAAAAGGTAATAGTCTTGTAGACATTGATGTTTTGACTTTTGAGCGACTGAAAAATAAAACTTAGATATTTAATTTTATTTGGATGACTTACATGTAAGTTTTTCCGTAGACGACTTACACGGAAGTCATCCAAGATAAGCAAGGTTTGACCAGAATCTCGGAATAAAATATTGGACGACTTTCGTGTAAGTCGTCTCGCAGAAGACTTCCATTTAAGTCATCAACAAAAAAAAAATATTTAAGGTTTATTTTTCTATTGCAAAACTACCCCGATACAATTTACATGTAAGTCGTCTAGTTATAATTAAATATTGATTTTTTTTTTTTTAATTTTCTACCGGACGACTTACATATAAGTCGTCCAGGAAAAGTCAAATTTCTAACACAATCCGATCAAATGCAAAACTAACCTACTTGTCCTAGACAACTTACATGTTATTCTTTGCTGGTATTCTCGAGATGATATTTTTAACAAAGAAAACTGGACGACTTCCATAGAAGTCTTCTTTAAAAACACATATAAAAGTCAATTGAAAAAGTAACTTCTGTAGTGACCAAACGACTTCTGTCTAAGTCTTTATAGCCAGAAGACTCATGCGGAAGTCATCGAGCCGAACATATATGGAAAAAAAAATTCGATTTCATACCTTAAATTAGTGAAATAAATTTCTTAGCACACATAAGTCTTCTCCAAGCACCCAGAAGCTCAAATAAAAGTGACCCACCAAGAATTGTAAGCTTGAATGGCTCCATGAACCATTAAAAGTTTTAGATTCAAAATCTTAAGTTTCTTTGGATGAATATAAAGAGAAAGTGAAAGATAAGTTGTTTTTAGTTCATAAGAAGTAAGATAGTAGGAGTGTAAATCGATTTTAGGTACATTAAGAGTTTCAAATTGGTTGTTCATGGTGGTTGGCGTGTTAATGTCAATGGAAATCTTGTAAATACTTGAAGATGATGAGGTTAAGAGTGTAAAAAAAAGCCATTTTCGAAAAAAACAATGGCATTTTTGTGAATAATCTGAACTTGTGGAGTGAATTGGACAAATGAAAGTTTCAAAAAAAAAACATAGATTAGTTTTGTGTTTGGCTTTGAGTTTTGAGTTTTAGATCTTATGACTAACTCAGAACAATTTATAAAATTCCAAATATGAGACTGAAATAATAAGAAAAATATATGTTTTCATAAACATATTTTATAATATAATTAGAAAATAAATAAACTTGTTTTATATTATGTTTTTGATCAAGTTATTAGAAAAAAAAACATCAATATACTATAATTTTATAGACATTTCCTTTTTGTTGTTTTGGGAAAAAATATAAAGAAGAATTCTATGAGGATTTTTTCCTTTTTGGAGTTATTTACAAATCATGGCATTATTGTTTTTGAAATATATTAATTATTTTTGTCAACTATAGATTCAACTATAAATTGTACTATGGTTAAACAATCTCCTAAATCCCTATATATTAATTCCGGAGCATTACAACATGTTTTCGTAGCCACGTGTCATCACCAGGACAATTCTTAGAATCTATAGAAAAATAAGTTGATACACATAAATATATACTAAATTTTTTATTAAACTAACTATTAAAATGATTAGTAGTGTACAATTTTTTTTTTCTTTAAATAAAAGCTACGGAATTACTTAATATGATTAACATATATATGAAATTAATGATTATGAATAATACATATTTTTGTATCCTCTCTCTTTTTTTTTAATTTTACATTATTAAAATAAATTAAAAAATCATATTAAATATATAATAAAAATTTAATTTTTTTTCTTATATATTATATTTGAAATTTTTTAAAACGACCATAAATTCCTAAAGTAGTAAAAGTACCACATTGAAAATTTTATGATCAATGGTTTAACTCTATTTTTTCCAAGCAAGATACAAATTATCATAAATCATACGAATATGAAGTGTCATTAGTAGATATTCATATATATATATATATATATATATATATATATATATATATATATATATATATATTAATATCTTTTAAATCAAATTATATACTATATTAAATATATAATATGTTAATTTAAAAATTTCAGTGAAAATGTTTAAAATCTTAATATTATAGTTTTGAAATTTGTATCGGGAAAATCCCACATTAAATTTTTTCTGATTAACAGTTTTAATATTTGTTACAACAAATATATGAATGTTAATAAAATCATATGAATCAAAAATGTCAATAATAAATATTTATATTAAAATATACTATATATATGTGTCAATCTTATTAAAGTTTAATTATATACATATAAAGTAAATAAAATGATTTTTTGAATTGTTTAACAGAAGGTACTCTGATGTATATAATTTTATGTATACAAATTAATTTTTAATTATGTGGTTTATAATATGTTATTTGATCCTGACAATTCAAGAAATACACTTCTTTAAATGGACAATTTTTAATATTTGAAGCACTATATATATATATATATATATATATATATATATATATATATATATATATATATATATATATATTATTTCATTCAGATTAAATATTTTAGTCTTTAAGTTTATTCTAAAAAGGATTTTAATGAAATATCATGACATGATTTCAGTCACCTTCTTTTGAGTTTGTTCGAAGAATGATAGATTTGATCATTTGTTTCTCCATAATACCCTATCTAGCTATTATAATTGTAAGAGTGAGAGATTTGAACTATTTATTATAAGTGTGTTGATTTATTATTTAATAAATCAAATAGTTTTTATTTTATACATGGTTTATATATATACTAGAATGGTAAAGTATTATATATATTTTTATCGGTATACTCTTAAGAAACTAAATATTAAAAGCGTAAGTTAATAAAATAAGTAATTTGTTTTGTTGTCTTAGAATTAGATGATTTTTAGACTGAACTGGTGAATATACACTGGACACACATTTATATTTTGAGTATGCTCTTAAATTCTATAACAGCTTGATATATTAGATTTGAACACTAACATGTTAACAGAGTTTGCCAATGATTTTCTTTAAAATTTTGATTCTTAGATATGTATCTGGAGTGGCACTAAATTTTTATATATGTCTATCTTTTTAAATTGACATTTATGTAATTTATCGTCTTTAAGAAGAAGTTAAAAAGAAAACCAGAACTCATATCAATGAAATAGAGACAAGAACTAAAACACAATTTTATAGAGGTAGAAAATTAAATCACGTATGGAGAGTTAATAATAAACAAATTGAGACCAGAAAACCTAATCCCCTTTTGTCATTTTACCGTAAAAAATAATTCTTTTTGTGCATATGAAATCTTAAAAATAATTAAAATGAGTTATACATTAGGTCTGGGGCTTTTACCACAAGCCGAAGTACATACCAAAACCTAAACCGGAAAACCAAATCTGGATCCAAGCCCTTATACAAAAATATTTAAACTGGACTTATGAGCTTAGTGCTTTGGGTTTTGGTTATAATCTAAATCGGACCAAAATTTAAACTATGATATGTATAATATGTTAATGTTTTTATATATGTTAAGGTAATTTATATATTTTGTATTATTCGAATGATTTTTGTAGTTAGTTTTATTTGTTTTTAATATCTTTTAGTTAGTTTAGATAGTTTAACTAATTTTAAATTAGATTTATGAATAATTTAAATATTTGGATTTTTTTTTGTCAACTTTTGAGGTTTAAAATTATATTTTGGAATAATTTCAGATGTTGGTTACAATCGAATCCAAACTGAATTGGAAAAGAACCAAACCGAATCCAACCCGATAATTAGTAAATCCCAAATAAGACTTATGAGCATAATTACAATATCTGAAAATACATCTCAATTAAACCAAAACCGATGAGACTCCAAACGTCCAGGCCTATGTTAATTTAAGATACCAACATTTGTATTCGTCATTTTACAATCGATAAATACTATAGTGTTGCACAATGTTAAAACTGTTTAATAAACAAACATTATTATAAAAAGCTCACTTGCGCATGCGCGCGGATTATCATCTAATACTTCCTTATTTTCTGTTATTTCTAAAATAGAAATCAGCCATATATACTTCTATACTGTTATATTTAAATGATCTTTTCTAACATTTATATTATACACGAATAAATTATCTATATCATTCAAACATATATATTTCACATCGTAAGTCAATTACATCATGCACATAGAATCATCTCAAAACAACTCTCTTTAAAACATGCAACATGATTGACGTATAAATGTTACTAGGTTAACGATCTGGAATCGAAATTGTGTACACATATTATTTAATGTATTATTATTTATATTATATTCTTTTATATATTATAATATATATATATATATATATTAAATAATTAAAAACTATTAAATATTATATATATATATAACTAAATTAGCATGCACAAATAAATACAAAAGTCACATTCGTTTATTTACAATCACTTTATATAAGTAAATCTAAAAAATAAATAATATTAACATACATATATATATATATATAAATATATTTTTTTTTTAAATTTGTATATCTATTAAACGAAGCTTCATATTTATATGCTTTTGTAATATTTTTTTCTATTTTATAACAAAAATAGAAACC